TATATATATATATATATATATATATATATATATATATATAAAGTGTTTTAAATAAGTCCCTGATATTTCCTCATAGTTTTCAACATTTATGGATTGTTATGGTTATCTTACAAGTTATGATTTCAGGATTCTAGGCAGTACCTCTGATGCCAAGACTGTATGAATTGATAATAAGAAACTTTGTTAATACAAACTTATAAATCCTGAACTGAATGTTAATCAGTTTGCTGTTCAACTCTTCCTCCTTCCGCGAAAACTAAAGCTTGTTAAATATGCTCAAGTAAGTGGTCCTTCTAATTATATGTACCTTAATTAAGTTTATCCATTCATTTTTATACCTTTAATCATTCGCGATTTGGGATGCAGTTAAACTTCAAACATTTTCATCCATATTAATGTTTAACCGATTTTTTAACTTAATAGTTTGCATATAGTGGAGTAAACTGTCATAAATAAAAAAAAATTACAAAACATACACAGTTTTAGACACGTATATGTATAAAGTATAAGATTAAAAACGCTTAGCCCTGATGACTAATTACACTTGATGGCAACGTTTCATTAAAATCTTACATTTACTTTTGTTTGCTCGAAACGCACACAAAATATTTTTTATCCTGTTATTCTCTACACTGAAATATGTATCACGAATGCAAGATATTGGAATTTATTGTAGTAATATTTTTGAATTAACATGATAGGCGGTTTTATAATTAACCATAGTATATTTACTCCTGAAACTTGTACGCTTTTTTCAGTGGTTAAAAATATTAATTAAAACTATATTTTAATGATTTTCTCTTTAATTCGCTTAAAAATATGATAGAAACGAATGTCAATCCACTATTAATCATAGTTACATGGCGTTTTTTTGTTTTGTTTTTTTACGTAAGAAAACAACTGCTAGGTCAATAAAACTATCACAACATAAGTTCACAACACTAGTAACTAAATGAAATATTTCAGTAATACTTTAAAACTTGAGCAATTTTTAAAGATAGTTTTACACGGATTCGCTTAAATTAACTTTGTACATCTTCGCTGAAACGTAAAGACGCCATTGATGACGTTGCTATGATACGTATTCGAATAATCAATTCAATGTGCGCGTGTATTTGAGGGATTCGTGGATTTTGATTTCATACTTGAAACTAAATCTGATTACTAAATAAGGGGACCAGGAGAAAAAACAAACTATAAAGTGTACTTGTATGAGAATGTGTGCTAGTTTGCCTTCTCTTCTGCTGCTACAGAATAAGATGAAAATTTACATTTTTTATTGCTGTCTTTTAATCATTTCAAGCGAGCGTAATTATTAGCTAGATTGATTACAAGTTCGCTAGTTCCCATATATATATATATATATGTAAAGCATGAGCCACGAAATTAAAGCTCACATTGTTTCTCTTCCTATGTAAATAAAATATTTCTGGAAGTCTCATCTAATGTGTCAAATCTATTGACCTTTACAAAGTTGGTAGTACGTTTTTAATAAAACTTTCTAGATTCTATTTACTTGAACTGATAGATATTCTGGATATCTTTATAATATTTTTTTAGTAACTCGGATAATAATGATCAGTTATATGTACTACTTATAATAAAATAAAGGACATTCAGAATATTGTGATTCAAAGTTAGTAACTCGGATAATAATGATCAGTTATAGGTACTTTTTGAATCACAATATTCTGAATGTCTTTATTTTATTATAAGTAGTACATATAACTGATCATTATTATCCGAGTTACTAAATTTGAATCACAATATTCTGAATTCTTTATAACATTATAAGTACTTATAAATGGCCATTATTATCGGAGTTACTAAACTTGAATCACATTATCATGGATGATGTCTTTATAATATTATAAGTACTTATAACTGATCATTATTATCCGAGTTACTAAATTTGAATCACAATATTCTGAATTCTTTATAACATTATAAGTAGTTATAACTGATCATTATTATCCGAGTTACTAAATTTGAATCACAATATTCTGAATTCTTTATAACATTATAAGTACTTATAAATGGCCATTATTATCCGAGTTACTAAACTTGAATCACATTATCATGCATAATGTCTTTATAATATTATAAGTACTTATAATTGATCATTATTATCCGAGCTACTACATTTGAATCACATTATTCTGAATGTCTTTATTTTATTATAAGTACTTATAACTGATCATTATTATCAGAATTACTAAATTTGAATTACATTTTACCATAATAAATAATTCATCTTAAGAATATCGCGGCTGAAGAAAAGTTTGTGTTTTTGAAACAGAACTAGAAAAACTAATCAAAACCAGCTATAGAATTCCAACAGTACTTTTGATCTTTTCCACTATACGGAGTTGTAGTACTCTGCAGCCAGGAAGAGATGAAGAAAAAATAAATATAAACGTAGAAACGTAGCAGCTAATCGATTACCTACCTCGGATGTCTAAGGAAACAGAGTGACTGTTCGCACCAATCGATCAATATCTCCTGGGTATGAGCAATGCTACACTGATGTGTCTGTAATGGTCTTATAGCGGTTTTTATGCCATGTCTAGCTACTAGAAGGGGAGAATATGTAGAAATAAGAAACTTGATTGGATATTACTGTACAACTAATGTCTTCACTTGTAGAGTAAGAAAGAATTTGGTTTTGGTTCGATACGGAAAAGCACCTTTATGTTCCATGAAGTTTGTGGTCAGTGGTGTTACTGAACGTGCACTGTTAAAACACACAGAATAACGTACATTTCATTACTTTTCAATTCCTATATATAATTCATTTACGCTCAATGCTAGATCGCCCTCTTATTATCCTGTCTTGTGCTTTATCTTCACGTAAGTAATGACATTATTAATTACTTCATGATTTATTAAAGCACCACGCTCTTCACGCCCTCTAGCAGTACACATATAGGTTTGTCTGCAGTCGTTCTAACGTATGAAACCGATAGGAAGAGTCGAATACCATTAGAATTAAGTAATAGTTCCATACATTTCAGATCAAAATCACCTACATGTCATAGGTCACAAAATTTTAGATGATTAATACATAGTTAACATTGTTAAGGAACCTTAGTGAAATTCTATTTGTATTTATGGCAAAGTTACTAAAGCTATATCTGCCGTCGTCTCTAATTTTGAACTATTGACCAG